GTTGACATTCGTTCGTGACACGTTCGTAATACGTTTGGCATACGTTGTATTCGTTAGCTGTTCGTTGAGGTACGCTGGGGTCGATTTTAATTTGTGGACATGTTCAAAATTTTGAACGTATGACAACGTTCTGCTACATACCGTACGCTATGTATACGGCTGTCTCTTATACACATCTAGATGTGTATATATAGTCAATGTTATACGTATCATAATTATGCAGTTCAGTCATTGTTTTATGTATTTAAGTTAGTCGTTTTAATAAGGCTACATTCAGTTTAACATTATCTTCAGAACCCGCTTAAGGAGTGATGTAGGAAAAAAAATGACGTGGATGAAGATTACACATTTGTTTGTTTGTTTGTTTAATTTATTTCTCCACACACATGAACAGATGAACATACATAACAAAAGCTTAATAGTAAAACCAACTAAGAATAATAGTACATTACAGAATTAGTGTGTGGAAGGAGGCCAAAATAAGTTTAGAATTGAAACTTTAAGCCGTGGCCACCAGATTTAATGTCGATTATATTCTAATTATTTATTAGTTCGTGATTTGACAAACAGTAAAAGCTCGCGATTATTAAATGCGGTCGATTAATCGACTGACACGTATCTATCGATCAAATTCAGTTAAATCCAACAAATCAAATTCGACTCTTCAGGGTTTGAAACCGAGACCGCCGACATACCATGTAAATGCACTAATCGACTGAGTTATGGGGTCCAGTAGAATTGGAGCGATACCACATCAACGTAACGATGATATAATACGAAATAAGGGCAACATCATATTGAACCTCTTTTTGATTTGAACAAGGGACCTCTGTCCGTCACACGTTGTAGATACTCTGATCGACTGCGTTATGGGGTCCTATAGAATTGCAACCATACCCCCATCAACGTAACGGTGATTTAATATGAAATAAGAAAAAGAAAGTGGACCTCTTTGGGATTTGAACCCAGAACCTCCTTCATACTGTTCGGAAGTTCTAACCAATTCCTCCGACATACTATGTGGACGCTCTAACCGATTAAGTACAATTGGAGCCATACCCCCATCAACGTAACAATGATATAATACGAAATAAGAGGAAAATCGAATTGGACCTCTTTGGGATTTTAACCCGTGACCTCCGTTATACGGTTCGGAATCTCCAATGGAGG